CTTGCGCTTGAGACTCTAGATGGTCAGCATCAGGCCACCCTGGTCAGTAGGAGGCAGGTCAGCCGACCAGCTGATCTGAAGGAGGTCCCGTCAGATACCCAGCAGATCCATGACAAAACACAGGAAGCACCGTCGGTCATAAAGGCCCGATTGGAGAGACTGGGTGGCCCCACCAGGTTGACAGATTAAATCTTATTATGTACATCAAAGAGGTACTTTTGGCGAACCAAATTCGAGGATTGGGCAGAAGACCCCGCATCTGCCCAGGAGACGAAAAGATCTACTCGTCCATCTGAAAAATCTTCGAGGGGGACAAATGGACCAACTTTTAAAGGCCGTGGACCCGCCACTGCTGAAAAAAAACACGTTATTCCGGGTTCGTGGGATACCGAATATGGAAGCGGCCGCCCTCCTCAACCATGCATCACATGAGCACAGATTCTCACTGCAGGACTAATCTGCATAAGCTAATAGGAAAAAGTGTAATACAAATTGCCTCTTCATACGGAGCGATAGGTAACGAAATCAGGACAAAGCTGCTCTCGAGACGCCCACCCCCGCCTCAAGAGTGCCTGATGTTGCGTGCAGCCACTTTCTGGTCCTCATCCACGGCGCATGCAGCCGCAGCTCGTCTGAAAAGAAGTTTGCCCCGATTGTGCCTGACGGCATGACCATCCGGCTAGAGCAAGGAGCGCATTGGCCGGCTGCCGGCTTAGTTTCACGGCTGCGCGGCAGATGAAAGCTGTGCGAGCAGCGCTGCAAATGGGAATCAGATCGCGCTCAGCGAACCGACGCATCTTGGAAGCGTGCATTCACGAGCATGTTGGAGAGCCGTTGATCCGTCAGTGCGATCACTGCAGAATGAGAACGTTGATCTGCTTCCTGCTACCGTCGGTCAGCCGCTTGGGCCGGGGCTTCACCGAAGGCCCGATCGATTTATCGGCATTGCGGTCGTCTGCGCGTTCCTCGTCATCGGCAGAAGACGACTCCCCGCCACCGATCTCCCCACCAGCACCGGCGCCCGCTCCGGAATGGCCGCCATTCCAGGAAACATCGCCGCCAGCGTTGCCGTGCGACTAAATTCCTCCAGGGCACCTCTCGCGCAGGAGATACCCGCAGGCGCCGGCCGCGGGCGCGCCGGGGCGTGACGCCGTCTCGGCCGCTGGTGCTGGAGCCGTCAGCCAGGCGTGAGCCGACATTGCGTGCCGGTCGTGCCCTTTGGCTTGACGAATAGCGGACTGTGTCACGCCGCCGCGCCCGCCGAGCGCGCTGGTCACCAGCAGGCGACGGAACGCCTTCGGTGGCCCGCACTCGCTGGCGTCAAAAGGCACTGTGGCCTGCGCCGATTCTGCTGAGCCGCTGTGAACGCATGAGAGCACGTGCGCGGTCAATAAGCACGGCTCGTAACCCCGGTTACGTCACGGTGCAATCTGGAAATGACTAGGTTTTTGTGACTTATGAAACTGGTGTTGAACTCTTTTGCAATTCTGCTGTTGTAGATTGTCACACTTGGTCGTTCAACCGGCTTTGTTCCGGCGAATGACTGGACGGATTCGCCGTGTACCATCGCATTCACATTCGTGCCAAACAGTCAGGGCACATGTGCTCATGATCCGTTCTACAGGAAACGGTAAAAACGGAAATGGCATGAACCTGGGTGGCCGTGGCGTGATCATCATGCACAGCATATGATGGCCGAATGCATCACCAACAGCGATCACGACATCACTGGTTTGACCTCGTTAAAATAACGAATGGCATAGTTGAAAACGTTGCCGTTTTCTATCGCAGTACGCTGTCTTTTTCTATTTATATTTGTTTTATATTGAATAACGCATCAATGCATCGGAATCACGATTCGCTGGCACAAATGGAGTGAAAAACATTAATAGCGCTTGCCTCTCCCTTACAAAAAAAGAAAACTGATAGTTTAAGTGCCTGTCTCCTGCGGCAGTTTATTTTGCTCTTGTACGCACGCTCCACCATATTACTGAAGATCCTGATTGGGACCAATAGAGTGACTAATTCAGCACAGGCTCGGGAATTGCCGCGTTAGGTGCACTTTGGGGGCTTGAGGACCTCCACCGCGCGGAAAGTTCTGGAAACTAAGGTCATAAGCGTGCATAGAAAAGAAACAAGTCAAAGGTCTATGAGCCCCCAATGCAGGACAAGCTCTGGATGGGAGTCGCCTATCATGCCCAGCGAAGATCGGAAATTAATGACGGGCTCCTGGGTGCCGATATTTGGGTGCATCTTACACATATTTCCCGACAGAATATTCGCCGAACCGTCTCAGAATGCTGTACTGTATTAGCCGCGCCATTCTTCAGAACCGGGTTATTTTGTTGTGGATCGAAGGTAGCCCTTGCCAGGCCATAGCCCAAATTGTACGCTGTCATATTTGTCATTCTTCCCATAGTTTGATCAGGGGTATTTTGAAATGTCTCGTCAGGGGGGTCGAATCTCACTTGATCCATCGTATCGGTCGTAAGAATGCCAGCCATGTCACCTCCCACTTCAACTCCCGTGCCGTCCATGCCTCCACTGTCTATGTCGGGCTCCTTGGCATGGCTTGCGACGAAAAGCAATTGGTCGGCTAGATCCCTCGTAAAATCGGTGGAGTCTTTCATCTACGCCTCCGCGATATCGATCGGAAACTCCTCCGCCACTCGAGCTTCCTCCCGTGCGCTTTCCTTCTTTGACAGTAGCTGATCTGCCAGTTCAGGAGGGGCCGACTCGCGTGGTTCGTCCATCTACTGAAACTTTCGCCCTGGAAGGACGGAAAGACTGCTGGTTTTTGTTTGCTCGGGTAGTTCGTTTGCAATTTCGTCATTTCATTCATGCCGCTCCATCGCCTGAACGCCCGAAGTCATAGCGAATCGGCCCGCTCGTGGTGTCATCGGGTCAAAAGGGATGATGTTGACCGAGGCAGTCGGGGCACCTTTAAAGTTGTTCGGGGCCTTTCTGTGACGACCTGAAGCCTTGGCAAGGATCTTCTTATGGGCTCCGACCTCACCAGAAACAGAAGGCTCAAAGGTGCTAGGATCGCCTGAAAACACAGATGCGCGCCACCGAAAAAACGCCCTAATAGATTTGTTGCAGTCAGTCAACGTTCAAGCATAATTAGCCACACGGAATTCCCTTGAGCAGTTCAAAATTATCAATCCATGAGTTTCATCTTTTCCGCCAGATTGTTGAAGTCGCTCAATCCACACCATACTGACGTCAGCAAACATGAAATCTTTCCAAGGTTTCAAACGAGGGACGGAACCCTATCATTTTTTACGAACATGAAACATCAATTATGCCACAGCCTTTACGGTGATGCATGCAAGCACATTCGGTGCAAGTGAGCAGTGTTTTGCCCGTCTGACCTTTTTTGCTGTGTATTGTATCCTGAGTATGGAACATCATTTGTTTTTCATGCATTTAGTTAGTGAACGGCTACAATTCATGCCATATGGTGCAATGCAACACATTACCAAAGTCATACGTACAATGTCAGGTGAACAAAACGGGTACAGGCATTCGCTGTAACATTCGCTGTAAGGGGCGTGTTACACTTACAAGTGCTGCTGCTCTGGTGCATGCCTACAGCGAGGTCTCACTCACCACTGTGTACGTGGCCCCGCAGCACCCTCACATCTGCTCGACCTTTCAGTCACGGCGCTGTCGTCCTCGCCCGTCGTCGGACGAGGACGAGGACGTATAGATACGTCGGAGGACAATGTCGTCCTCCACCGGCGCGGCCGTGTCGCTCGTTCCGACCCAGCAGTAGGGCCTCTCACCTTGATCCGACGCCGGCGACACCCTGTGGCGCAGAACCCGCGCGCGGTGCGCCGTTGTGTCACCGCGTCGTTATACCGCAGTGGGTGTCTGCAAGGGCCTCGCCGGGGCCGCCCTGATTGAGCCGTTCCCGCGGCACGCCGGCGAGCGTGCGAGGCAAACGTGGCGCAGCGGAGCTGGCGGTGCCGCTCGGCCAGTCAACCACGGCCAGTCGATCGGCAGAACATGCGTGCACCTGTGTGCCGCTGGGCGGCGTTGGATGGCTTTTTTGGCCTCAGCATGAGGATCGGGGGTCAGTGAGTTTGGAGTTATTCAGTGTTTCCAGACAGCCACATCCAAGCCCAGAATGTGAAGGAACATCGCGGTATTATTCTTACTTGCCGTAATTAAATGACTGAATTGCCTGACTCTGCAGTAGGTTACACGCCACTTCATGTTTCTTTACCATGCGGCCGATCACTAAAAGCCATCAACTTACAGCATTCCTCAATTACATGTCACCTTGCTTTGCACCATCACTGGCGGCAGGTAAATCCTCACCCCTAATCCGACTTGCCTTAGCTAGACAAAATATCATCCTCACGCCAGCTTCAGTCGACCGTGAGCCTCGGATACATGGATACATTTTCTTTTGAGGATCCGATGATTATACTGATGTGATGATTAATCACTGTACCTGGATCCCACATGCCTATGCGTGTGCTTTTATGTATGTATGAGCGTTCGCCGTGTACTGCTCTAAATTCGAGAGCCAGCTGCAGCCCTCCCTGGTGCCATCCGCTGTTTACCCCTAGTTTCTACCACACGCTGTTGAACCGAGCCCACTCCCATAAATTTCCCCCACCCTGCATGGAAAGCTGCCCTGCTGCACTGCCATCCCCACCCCTGTTAGCAGACCATCACGCGCGACACAATCCCCGTGATCCTCTTCCACTTAACGCGATGCTGTCACCCTCGACATGCAAACTACCATCAGGCAGTTAAAAGCCATTCTCCCCGTCATTCTAGCCACACAGAGGCGGCGGCACCGCACAGAGGCATCATTATCATAAAAGACACGGTGGTTAGCCGTACCCTGGCCATCGAACCACCACGTCCCGAACGACCTCTGCGCCCCCCCCCCTCCCTCCCCCCCCCAGGAGGCCTCTGCGGGGCAGGTCGCGGCCTACCGCCGCCGACCCCGGCGCCACTGACGGCGAAAGTCGGCGAAAGCCTCAGGCGGACGCGCCGCTCGCGCCCGTCGGCGTGCGACGAGCGTTGTGCAAGCCGATGCGCCGACCGCGGACGGCGGGTCGTCGCTGGCGACGACGGCGCATCGCGCGAGTTGGGCAGTGCGCCGTGGGCGGCGCGTGCAGTGGACGGAAAGTCGCACGCTGCCGATCGTGGCCAGGTTGTTTATGGTCAGAGATCGCAGGGGGCCGGGTGCAGCTGGCTTGAGAGTCGGATTGCATGGAGGATGTTACACCACGGGGTATACGTGCGTTATTTGTGCACGCCCAGGGCTAAACGCGCGCGAAATATGACGCCATCCGTGTGCAACAGGTGTGCACTGATGCTTACATGGCAACCTTGTCGCCACTGTACTTTTCCGCTAATTGTCATGGCTTGTGCGTAAAAAGGTCAGGCAACACCAGCCGTCAACAGCGCGGGAGTTTTAACTCATGCTAGAGTGCTTGACAGTCTGGCGTATTGTTCAAGGCGCAGCTTTTAGCTGCCCATTTAAGGCAGGGTCCATTGACTCAGTCTGGTGCACTATTTCAAAACTTATGCTGCAGTTTAACCTTAGCTTGACTGCTGTGATACCCAGACCATGGCTCTGTGGCACGCATTTAAGTGCATCAGCCCCTCCCCCCCCCCCCCCCCCCCCACCGCCCAGAGTTTCGAGGCAGTTCCGTAAAGGATAAATTCCGTAAAGGAAAAGCCCGTATTGCGTACTGTTCTTAACCGTTCGCAACGGATAACGTTCGTATCCAAACCGTCCGCACTTTGATACCAAATATAACCACCACTAATTACACTTATGCACCGTCGTAATGTTACGTTGTATCAGTGGCGTACTAAGAGCGTTACGTTTTTTCTGTCCGTCGCAAGCATTTGCGCCTGAGCTATCACCTGGGATGTCAACAATGAAGTAACCTGCAAAACACGTGGAGCCCACATGCCACCATCTGGCATCATTGGTCCCGCAACCGCCATTGAGCGCTTCGAATTAGAATCGTCCACTGAGCCGTAATTTCATGTAGATGATATTCCCCTGGAGAGAATATAGTTTCTAATTCATCCGGGGTGGCTTTTGCGTCTGCATTGCAAATAGAGCAGACCATTCGAATTCGGAATATTTGGATTTTCCACCGAACATTCGGATTCCTTAAACACTAGAATACCGAAATCAGTGTTTGAAAATTCGAAACACTCAAATATCTGCCCAAAAGCTCACCGCACCCGATATCATCTTTGGAAAAAATTAAGAGCTAGCTTTGACGTCGCGGTAGCGGAGGGGAACATCGTGTAGTTATGGTCGATCGATTTCGGACTCAAGTCACATGGAGAGCGAGCACTGCTGGTGTGTGCACAGCTGGTGCACCGGATCACACAGGACCCATGATAACAACAGCATTGCGCAGAATTTCTGCAGACCTGAGATCAAAAGACCTGCGATTTTTGCGATCTTGTTAATCCTGACCACCGAAAGTGGAAAAGCTAAGAAACACATCAAAGATCACGTTTCAATAATTGCATTGAACACAGGTTCCGAAAACATTTCTAGGGCAATCGTCAACGAATTAAAAGTGTTTCACCATCAATCCATGGCAGGAGAAATTTGTACTCGGAAGGTACATCGAGGCTGGCATAATACTTACACCTTTTGCCATTGGTTATGAATTACATGCTCAATGCTGTGGACTGAGACTGGATTAAAGCTGTATTGAAAATTGGGGCGTTCCTTGGCAATAACTTGAAATCAGGGGCGGCGCCACGGGTTTTGAGTTGGAGGGGAGACATAATTTTTCAGGATGCCTCCCGGACGAAATTGGGCCTCCTGTTCCTGGGCAATGTCGTAACTGGGAGCACCGTACGCCAGTACCACCCCATCAAGTTACTACACACATCAATTTCCATCAGAACTTATGTCAACGGCCGAAAAATCCAAGGTAGGGGCCCATAAAAGGGCCGGGCCTCCTTATCCAGAACAGGATCAAATGCAAATGCAAATCCAGCCAAGCATCTCGCTGTCCTAAACAAGATGTCCTAATTCGGAACGGCGGCCTTCTGGCATCTTAAAGCGTCTTTCCTGTTCCAGAACAGGGCCCTCCAGGTATGTTATATAGAGGGCCCCTCCTGACCTTGTGCAGGGTCCCCTAGTTGTTAAAGGTGTCTCCCGAGACAGCAGTCTTCCACAACACATGATTTTATATCCTTATCCAGAAAATGAGCTACTTAATCCAAAAGATCCGGAAAAAGGCATTGTGATTCAGAAAAGGGTCTTTTCAGTCCCATTTAGTACTCCATGGCTCAGCTATGAGGCCTGCTGGATCTGGATTTGAGTACCATATGTGTAGCTACAAACCTGCAGTTTAGGTAAAAGCCTTCCGATTTTGCACTCCACCCCCTCTCCCCTTCCCCGCCATTCCCGCTGCTGCATCGACCCTGGGGGGTGAGATGGTCTACCTAACCATCTCACTAAGGGCTGAATGCTTGTCGTTACGTCTTCTTCTCACGACCTATGACCTGCCACAAATGATTGTCATATTTCCAAGCCAATTCCAATGAGAAGAACAGCGCGACCGGGTGTTTTTTTGGTTTGGTTTGAATAAGAAGCCGTCGGCGAATGGTGACTATTGTAGGACTACGATAGAACGAAGGGTAATGGGAAGTGGTGGGTCGAGACGATGGTGGTGGATAGTGGTGGGGTATCTGGGAATCCCTTCTCTACTGCGAATTGGCTGCATCAGGAGCCCCCGTCCAGGGCGTGTGCGGGCGCTGGAGCGGGGCCCCCGCCAGGAGCACTCATACCCACACGAGGCCGATGTCGGCAGCTCATCTCGGCTGAATGGGGCACTGCGGGGATGTGGGACGAAGAGCGAATGGAGAAAGAAGGGCGGATGACGAGGCAATCCCACTAGCGGATAACTGTTCATCACTGTTTTAGAAAACAAAAGCAAACGGTGTGGCTGAATTAGACAAGCCGGCGTTAAAGGTTCGAGCCTATGCAAGCTATGTAGTTCACTACTTGCATGAAATCCCGAATTCGACACGCCGCTTTTGGTGAGCCCTGATCTTGGTCAAGTTGTAGGGCTTCAAGTCAGTTATGAAGCTGTGGGACAATACTTAAATTAGGGAAAACATTATCCTGGTAAAAGGCAAATTCATGGAAGCAAATAGTCTCGTTGCACTTCGATTACCAGCGGACATCGTTTGGTGAAATGATGTCGTTCCAAAGCGTCAAGAGCATTCACCAGACGCGTGTATCTTCTGGAATAACTACCTAGGACTCACTACCAGTCTTCCACCGGCGTGTGTAAGGTTCAGTGGTAGGGGTTCAACCCAGGAATTGTAACACACATATAATATCTCTTTCAGGGGGATGGGGGCGTCAGGTCGCGGGTGGGAGGCGTCAGGCAGGGGTGGGAGAGGGGCTTCAGATGAGATCAGAGATGCCAGAGGGGGGAGGGGGCGAAAGACGGCGTTTAGAAGGGCGTCATACACAGTTATGCGCGATTAATATTAAGGACATCTTATTAATGAAGGACAAGTAAAAAAGGCTATTATCAGAGATGTTCACTGTATGGTGATAGGGTTACTACATGGGGTGGTCGTAGCCGTAGTCGTAGTCGTAGTCGTCGTCTCCAGCAACTCTGTAGAGCAAGAAGTCATTGTTGAAGTCTTTTCATAGTGTCATCTAGTTTTTCACAGTCAGGAGAGAAAAAAGTGATTAAGCGACGCTCTTGCACCATGGGGGCTCATCAGATACCCTGTCTGCTGTCCGCAGTTAAATCATCATTGTTATGCCATGCAGAAGTGACAGCAACAGAGGAGCACATAGCATGACTCGGCATGCCTCTCACCTTTCAACAGTTATGTAATAATGCACGCTTTATGATAACGCTTGTGATCCTGCAGTTAAGTATGCGATAGTGTATGTGTGCACACGGCTATAACACGAACCTAGGTTTTTGAAAAGTCCCTCCTAATAATTTTTGAATGCCCGCACGCCCCTGAATAAGGCAGTTGTCCATCACAAAGGCGTGCCACCGAGGAAGTGAAAACGAACATTTACATTAACCATACATGCAACAACTATGATCTCAGGCCGTCCGACCCTTAGAGAGTCCGCCTGAAGAGTTGGTTTCCATGTTTCGTCTCCGTCTGACGTCCTCCGCCCCCCCCCCCCCACACACTCTGATCTCTCTGATGTCCGTCTCCCTTCCCCGTCTGACGCCTCCCACCCGCCGTCTGACGTCTCCATCGGGCCTCCATTAGCTCCGTCACGCGGCCGGCGGCCCGTCCTTTGTGCCGCCGGTGCCGGCGTCACGTGTGACGGCGCCGCCGTCACAGTCGGCTCGCCGGCGGGCCGGTTGCACCTATATCGCGGCGCGGCGCAGGCACGCGCCGCGAAAAACGCTCCGCCATTACGCCCCATTGTTGGCAGAGGTGTGAAAGTGCTCAATTTACGAGCAGTGTTTCATTAGTATAAGTCGTAAAGCCGGTTTTAGGGAGAGGCCCAGACACGTGCGGTGCCGCAGTGCGATATGTTGTGTATCACCAGCTCGGATATGCAGGTGAGGATCTGGCCTGGACCGGTGTCCCGAGCTGACCTAGCCGACCTGGACCTGTCTCTGCGACGTGGCTATGGTGGACGAAGATTTTGCATAGAGTGGATGCCTGGATGGTGTCTGATATTTTACTACTCGGGATGTATTGAGCTTTTTTCTTTGACGAGCCACAAGATAGCGGGATTCCCATTGACAATATTCTATTCGACCACCTCTACACATCCCATATGGACGACGTTCAGGAAAACACATGTAATTTCCAGTGATCACTCATGATGTTTTAGGTCCCGATCCCAGTGGCATGATCCTTGCATCATCACTCTGTAGCAGAGCTCAACTCCATAGCTCAGACATAAGCAATTGTGAGCAGCATTCCACTTCTGCGCCTTGTCGTCATTGATTTGAATTGCCGAGATGGCTTTAACCATCGGTGTCCTGCCCAGGATAAATGCAGTTCACATTCAGATGCTCGCTGAATGCCCTTCGGTCGTGCATTGAGTTCATACACTGGCAGGGTCGGGTCT